TTTTTTTTTTCAAATAAATTATTTTTTATTTCTTATTTTTTATTTTTTAAAAAAAAATAAATAAACCAAAAAAAATTTTATTTTTTTTTTTTTTTTTTTTTTTTTTTTTTTTTTTTTTTTTTTTATATTAATCAACTTCTTAAATATAAGATTAATTTCAATTGCAGATTCTGCTTTATTCTCATTATGAGACTACTAATTTTTTATATCTGGTATAATAGCTTAAACCCAACTTCTATTCCTATTTTTTATTTAAAATTAAATAATTATAGTTATGTTTTTGGCAATTTTTTTTCTACCATACTTCATTCATTCTCTTTTTAAAGCTGATCACTTTATTTTTACTATTATAAAATTTTAGGACAATAAAAAATATCAATGAATGAATTAATAAAATTTTGATATCTGTTAATGCTAACAATTTATTAATTCTATAGTAACTTATCAATTCAATCATTAGTAAAGATGGATGTTATTACTTATTATTACTTAATATTGCATCTAATTTTTATATAGTAAGTAAAAAAAACTGATGCTTGCAAAAGCAACCTTGATTGTCAGAATAAAACTCCAGAATTTTACCCTTCATATTGTATTCATAAATTATAATAGCGAAAAAAATTGCATTTATGCAATATAATTGTTAGACGTATTTTAACCAATAGTACTAGATATTAACCTTTATTGAATTCTTTAAAAAGATATATAATATATCAGTATAATTGATGTATATTAAAGAAATATATACATTTTTCCTACAAAAAAATATTGATTAAACAAAAAGATCTACAAAAAGATCTAACAGAAGAAAAACAAAAAAACAGATCATATATATAAACATATATATAGTATATGTATAACAAGAAAAATGCTAAAAAAAATTAAATATATATATATATATAAATATATATATAGTATATATATAATAATAAAAATCTAATACATTTGTAAAAAAAAAAGCAAAAAAAAAAATTTTATTTTTTCTCTAAAAATAAGAAATTTTGTTTTAAGAATAGCATTATATTTACTAAGCTTGGTGCAAAACGAGTTCTTCTTGCTATTACATAAGCACTAGCATCAGAAAATAAGCGTTCAGAAAGGACTAACGTCATGGGAATGAATAAATATTTGCGCGCAAGTTGGCAGAGCAATGGAAAATTTGCATATCTCTCCTTCTATTATAATAAAGGATCTTGGTTTCTATAAGCAATTTGTTCATTTAAATATCTTGTTAACTCATTTTAGTAATAGCATGTAAAACGGTACTAAAAATGAGTTCTATAATTTAGCATTTAATGAATTACATTCTTCTTTTTCGATAGTGAATGTTTTAGTAATAGTGTTGTTTTGACTAGATTGAGTTTTTAATATTGATAACTCTTTACAAATTTGTTCCTCAGTATTTTTTCGTTTATCAGCAGTAGCAAATAGAAGTAATTTTAATACTTGTAAATCCAATATAGAAGCCTTTAATCCTATTTTATTAGGAATAGACTATAATTTATCAAGAGATAAGTAAATTGCAGTACATATTTTTTTTAAAAGCCCTTTACAACTTGTAAAAAGAAAACATTTCACTGTATTAGGATCATCGTTAGTTAATTCAGCACTATTCTTACTATTTTTTTTATATTTGCTATTGTGTCTACTACTTCGATCTCAACTAATGATGCTGCCCGAAACTATATAGTTTCGGATTGACCGAAACCGAAACTGGTATTACCAGTTTCGGACATGACCT